TGCAGCTGCTTCTGCTGCTACTTCTACTACTACTACTACTGCAGCTGCTTCTGCTGATACTTCTACTACTACTACTACTGCAACTACAACTGCTGCTATTTTTACTATTACTACTACTACTGCAACTGTTTTTGCTCCTACTTCTACTACTACTACTGCAACTACAACTGCTGCTATTTTTACTACTACTACTACTACTGCAATTGCTTTTGCTGCAACTACTACTATGCTGCAACTACTACTACTACTACTACTACAAATACTACTGCTACTAACATATACATTGCATGGCATAAATCGTTTGAGCGTAACCTAAAATCATCATTGCTACTATTACTAATACCATTAGCAAATAATAATTATAATAATAATTATTATTATATTATAATTTAAAAATAATTATGATTTTAGTTATGATAATAATTATTACAGCGACAAAAGATGGTGATGGCGAACCAGATGATGGGAATAAAATGTTGAATGCAAGCATTCACATTTCTTCACAAACAACAACATTGTCGTCTACTACCACTACTACTACTACTACTACCACTACTACCACTACTACTACTACTATTACTACTACTACTACTACTACTACTGCTACTACTACTACTACCACTACTACTACTACTACTACTACTACTACTGCTACTACTACTACTACTACTACTACCACTACTACTACTGCTGCTACTGCTGCTACTGTTGCTACTACTACCACCAATACTAACAACAATACTTATAATAATAATAATAATAATAATGATAGGATCCAAAGATCACAACAAAATCATTCCGACCTACCAACCAACTCGTCAGACTGGCACCCGTTACCATCCCATCAGCGTCACCTAACCAAAGATAATAAAAATACTCTGGTTACGTCATCATTCACTCATCTGCACGTAACCAAAAACACAAAAAACATTACAGTGGGGACATGGTCACCAAAAAAATTTAAATCCACGTCTTTATTCAGTGCGGTTTCTATGGGAGCGAAAAATGGCCATCTAAAGTTTGAGAGCGTCGTCAAAGAAACGGGTGATAATAGGAAGATTTATTATGATATCTATGGTGAACATGATGACGTAGATGATGATGATGATGGTGACGTAAATTATGATAATGGTGGTGGTGGTGGTGATAGAGAGAAGGATGAAAAGGAAAGAGATGGAGAGAAAGGTGATGATGAACGAAAGCAGGAAATGACCGGTGCAAAGAAGAATCATGTTTCTAAACGATTCATTAATCATCAAACGAACAACAAATACAACTACTACTACAGTTACAACAACAACAACAACAACAACAACATCAACAACAACCCAAATACATTTAGCAGGTCCCTTCAGAACACACCCCCAATCAGGCAAAGTCATAAATTAAAATCGGAAGCGGAAGTACAATTGGTAGCCAATGGCAACAAAGCAGCAGCGGCAGTAGCGATGGAGATGACGCCAAATTTTATTTCCCGCTCGAACGACGATGACGTCATTGAAGATAATTCTAATGATGTTGATGAGGCGCTTGATGATGATACGAATAGTGCTCCTGGAGTTAATTATGTAACCCTCGGCCATGATGATAGTGACGATGGTGACGATGATGATGATGATGATGACGATAATAACGATGATGATGATGATGACGTTAACAATGATGATGATGATGATGATGATGGTGCAAGTAGATTAATCCGTGTTAAAAGAAATGCACTGGTTAATCAAAACAACAACAACGACAACAACAACAACAGCGAGAACAACAACAACTCATCTCTCGACAACCTACCTAAATTGAATATTGAAATCTTGGGATTACAATTGCCAGTATACGATGATGACATAGATGATGACGTTGTAAACATCATCAACAGCAACAACAACAACAACAACAACAACAATAATAATAAGGAGGAGGAGGAGGAAGATGATGATGAGGAGGATGGCGATGAGTATGATTACCATCTTAATAATCTTCACAGTGGCTCTGACGTTAATAACGACGCTGACGTCACATTTTTGTCGGAAGAAACCGAAAATGCCACGGAGACAAACGCAAGTAAACAAAATAATAGGGCTGGCAAAAAAATTCACTATGGAGATGATTCAGTCAGAGAAATCTCCACCGGCGACAAAGAAAAAAATGAAATTGTTTCTCGGAAAAGCATCAAGCAAAAACCGAGCGGAAGTTTTGATGACGATGATGACGTCAGTAATAATGATGACGACAATGATGATATAATTTATGGGAAAGCAGGCCATAGGACAATTGCAAGTAGGAATAATGACGAGCGGGGTGTGATTGTTAGCGTCAGAGAAAACTCCCCAGCCAATACGATCGTGGCCCATATCAAAACAACAGCAGCTCTCCATATAGAATCCATTTATTACATTGACTGCAGTGTCCTGACGTCATCCTCATCTTCTTCATCATCATCCTCATCTTCTTCATCACCATCGCCATCTTCTTCTTCGTCGTCATCATCAGCATCGTCGTCTCTCTCGCCCGATATGGGGAAGAAAGTTGAGCGCCTGCCAAAACAAAATACCAACCCGTCATCATCATCATCTTCTTCATCATCTTCTTCTTCATTATCTTCTTCTTCATCATCATCAGCAGCAGCAACAGCAGCAGCAGAAGCGACTGCAGAAGCCTCATCGTCGTCGTCGTCATTTCACCTAACGCCACACGTTGAGAATGAATTCTTGCTAAGAACGTCTCGGCAATTTGATCGTGAGGCCGAGCCCAGGTTCCACCTCAGGGTCAGGTGTCAGTTAATCACCGATACAAATAACAAAATTATTAATAATTATTATAACTATAATAAAAATAATAATTATGACTATAATTACGACGACCGCGGTGCTGCTGGCGACCATAACGACAGCGTGAATTACGGCGTTGAAGTTGAATTCAGCGGTGGACTTGAACACAAAACCGGAAAAGGAAATAGAAAATTAAATAAAAACAATAAAAACAACAAAAACAACAACAACAACAATAATAATAATAATAATAATAACAATAATAATAATAACATGAGTATTGATAATGATGACGACGACGATGATGATGATGATAGCATCCAAAAAGTTAGAAGCGGTAACAAGAGGAAAAAAGGCAAACTTAATGGTTACAAAGGTGGGAAATCCCGGAAGAAAAATATAAATAATAAAAATACAACTAATAATAACAATAACAACAACAATAATAATAATAAATATTATTATAACAACTTGAAACTCGAAGAGGGCAGCGGAATTGTAAAGAAGTACCTAGTAAGTAGTAAGAAGAGAAAACGCAACAGCAACAGCATCAACATCAGCAACATCATCAACAACAACAACAACAACAACAATAATAATAATAATAAGTATCCGAGCTACGGTCCCGCCAAAACTAACGACTCGGGAAGATTTGAAAAAAATTTAAATTCCAAGTACCTTCACATCAACAACAACAACAACAATAATAATTATAATAATAATAATAACAATAATAATAATAATTATAATAATAATAATAATAACAATAATAATGATAATAGCAGCAATAGCAGTGAGAGGTTCATAACGAACAACTCAAACGCTGAGTCAGAAGATAGCAATGGATTATTTGGAACAACTAATACAAATTTTAGCGACAACAACAACAACAACAACATCAACATCAACAACGACAACATCAACAACAACGACAACATCAACAACAACAACATCAACATTAACAACAACAACAACATCGGCGAGCACCTATTCAACTTAGGCCGCCGTGAAACACGCGATATTTTTCCCGCGAGAAGATCACGAGTTACGCGCGATTTGACTGGTCAACCATCATCATCACCACCACCAACATCATCATCATCATCATCATCATCATTTCCATCTTCATCACCATCAATATCTCCATCATTATTATCATCATCATCATCATCATCATCATCATCATCATCATCATCATCAACAACATCATCACCAACATCATCATCAGCATCATCGGCAGTCGCCATACTGGATGCTAATCAACGCCATAGTCATCAGAGTCGTCGTCATCATTTCTGCCGGAAACATCATCATCATCATCCTTCCGGTCATCACATTCTCCATTTTCATCTCTTTAATTCTTATAACCTCTTTCTTCATCATCATAATCATAATCTCACTAATCGTCATCATCATCATCATTTTCGTCATCCTCATCATGAACACCCTACTCATCATCATCATCATCATCGTCGTCATCATTATCATGAACACCCTACTCATCATCATCATCGTCATCATCATCATCATCAGCATCATCGCACTTGCCACTCCTATCGCAGAAAGCCTTCAATGCAGAGGTTCCCGTGTCAACAAAGGCTGGCAAGTGATGATAATGATGATGATGTTAATAATAATAATAATAATAATTATAATAATAATTATAATAATAATTATAATAATAACAAATATAGTAATGAAAATAATAATGGTTACAACAATTGTGGTCCTCATCGCCGTCTTGAAGGTCGAGTGGAGTTTCAAGGTCGAACCGTAAATTTGGCGAGTAATAACAACAACAATATTAACAATAATAATAATAATAATAATAACAAAAGCAATAATTATAATAGAAATTATAAATATAATAATAATAATTATAATAAAAATAATGATGACGGTGATGATGACGCTTTTGTTTTTGGACACGGACGAAAACGCAGACTACCAAGAAACACGGTCAATAATTTCAATCCAAGACAACAACAACAACAACAACAACAACAACAACAACAACAACAACAACAACAACAACAACATCAACAACAACAACAACATCAACAACAACAACAACAACAAAACGAAAACAACAACAACATCAAAGACACCAAAAACGATAAAGATATCAGACCGGAAAAAGTAATAACGACAGCTTACAGTGACGTCATCGTCATGGTAACAGACGTCAATGACAACGCGCCTCAACCGGAAATGAGAAAATATGACACGGAAATAGACGAAAACAACGAACCGGAAGTAGCCATTTTTAAAATGGCGGCCGTGGATCTGGACGATGGAGACAATGGACGCATTGGCTATTCAATACTTAAGGAAAAAGTGTTTCATGACG